TGTCGAGGGGTCAGTCACACAGTGACAGGGCCGCACTGTCCTGGGGTCATTTACACAGTGACAGGGCCGCACTGACGAGGGGTCAGTCACACAGTGACAGGGCCGCACTGTCGTGGGGTCAGTCAGTCACACAGTGAGTGGGCCGCACTGTCACGGGGTCAGGCACACAGTGACAGGGCCACACTGTCGTGGGGTCAGTCACTTACACTGTGACAGGGCCGCACTGTCGAGAGGACAGTCACACAGTGACAGGGCTGTGCTGATGTATAAACGTGACCAGTAATCCTATTTCCTGCGGCTCTGAATGGTGTATCATACTTTATAATGTGATTGTTGAAACAAGTGAAGTCCTGTGATCGATGATCAATGACCTGCGTGTGTGTGATCAGTGGTTCTCAGAGTTGACTCACTCACACACACACACGCTCACTGTCTGAAACTGGCTCTTTCTCAGAGCACTCTGGCTCTGAGCCCAGATAGTTCCCAAAGTTAAGCTCTCCTCAAAGGTGACTGATCCTTCACTTTATTAACCAAGGCTCAATTCCTGCAGCATCTGTCATATCCCAGCGCAATCAGCATCACCACCTATAGGAGATTGCTTGTTCTTATTCCTCTGACTGTCTGTGAACAGAGCCTTGCCGTGTGGATAATGGGTTGCAGCATTTACATTCCTGACAGTAGGAAGTGCACTTCAGCAGTCTGGCTAAAAATCACGTTGACATATTCCGAGTATGTGCAAAGCCACAACCACGTGTTCCAGATTAACAGGCTGAAGATGTGAACACTGGCTCTGCCGACTGAGTTGCAGACCCTCTCGGATGCAGTGGATTGCAGACGAAGGTTCTGCAAGGACAAGGCTTCCTTAGAGACAGAGTCTCTCTAGCTGACAGAAACTTGCAGACTGCATCGTGGAAGTCGCAGTGTTGAAGCGGAGTGCAGCCTGGATGCTGCTCCTTAGCACAGGCAGCACTGGCTGGATGAGTTACCAGACGCAGCTTGGAGATATTGCCAAGAGGCTAGTGCAGATAGCACCAAGCACATTGTCAGTCATCACCATTCCACCATCAGCAACTGCCTCATGCTCCAACCTTCCTGAACCTCTTAAATTTCCACTGGCATAGTACTTCTAATGTCATAAACCACATCTGAAGCGCTGTGCTGGTCACCCTACCTACAGAAGGATGTAAATGCATTGGAAGCAGTTCTGAGAAGGTTCAGAACATAGAACAGTACAGCACAGCACAGCATAGTACAGGCCCTTCAGCCCACCATGTTGTGCTAACCTATTGTCCTACTCTAAGATCAAAACTAACCTGCATACCCTACATTTTACTATCATCCATGTGCCTATCCGAGAGTCGTTCCAGGCTTACTAGACTAATCCCTGGAATGAGTGGATTGCCTTATGATGAAAGGCTGGACAGTTTAGGCCTGCACCCCCTGGACTTTAGAAGAGTAAGAGGTGACTTGTCTGAAACATGGAACATCCTGAGGTCACTTGACTGGGTAGATGTGGAAAAGATGTTTCCTCTTGTGGGAGAATCTAAAACTAGAGGGTCAATGTTTTAAAATAAGGAGGTGCAGACTTAAGACAGAGATGAAGAAACTTTTTTCTTCTGAAGGTTGAGAGTCTTTGGAATTACCTCAGAAGCAGTGAGCACAGAATCTTTAAATATTTTTAAGGCAAATAGATTCTTCATTACTGAGTGGATAAAAGATTACTGGGGGTTTGCAGGAATGTAGTTTTGAGGTTAAAATCCAATCGCACTGGTCTTATTGAATGGGAGAGCAGGCTGTAAGGTCCAAGTGCTCTACTCATGCCCTTGTTCATATTATCAACCTCCTTTACTTTTTCTGAGACATTCTTTTTAACAAACTCTTTGAACAGCTTGTCCTAATTTCTCCTTTCAGGGCTGCTTGTCAGGGTTTTGTATGGTAATCACTCCTGTTGCATCCAGAGATATTTTACAACAGTAAAGGCTCGATTTAAGTGCAATTATAAGCATTTCAATGATAAAGCAAAGAAGCTGGAACAAGATAACAAAACACCTTAAGTGAACACATCACTCTTTTAATCGGAGTCTTTTCACATTGAATTTCATTTGAGCTGATCAATATGACACAGACCAGGTCCCTCCAAACAAAGAGAAGTCTGCAGCGATGTGTCTTGGATCAACATGTTCCTAACAACTGATGGACACGAGGGAGGGGAGGAAGGAGGTGGGTTATTGGAAGAGTGTTACCTGATGGGGAAAGGTTGCACTGACTGGACCTGTATCCACTGGAGTTTGGAAAGATGATGGGTCACCAGACTGAGACATCCAAAATCCTGGCAGGGCAGATAGTGCAAGGATGTTTCCCTTTTGGAGGGGAGAGACTACAGCCAGAGGGTACAGTTTAAAAATAATTTATGTCTGAAAACAAGGAGGAATATTTTTTAGATTCTTAACTAACAAAAGTCAAAAGATAAACAAAGTAGGCTGCAACATGGGTTTTCGATTACAATCAGATCAGTCATGGTCATATTGAATGGCCTCCTCCTGTTCCTCGTTCATCAGTCTGTTCATCATGCAGAAGGCTGCTGTGTGTCGAGGTATCTTGTTCATGGAAAGAAAGGTGAATTAGGAATTCTCAAACCTTGTTTGAACCAAGGTGAAAAACCAACTGCTAATTGAGGTCAGGGGTCTAGAGCTCCCATTGAGCAGTCTTACAGGTTTCAGCTGTGTGGTTTAACTAACAATCTTCCCCTTTAACTGAGAGAACAGACACTGCAAAACTGCTGTGTGCCCCTCCCTGGGTATAGGTCAGTCTTATCCTTTAATATCGGAGTGCATCCCAACATGAAGCATTAACCAGGTACACGGTGCCCTGAAGCCTGACTGTCCCTTATTCTTTCAGCTGTGGCCTGGGCTCAACCCAACAGCTCGGCAATCTGAGGGGGAGGAGGTGGCAAAGTGGGATTTTCACTGGATTATTAATGCAGCAGGGACATGGCACCAAATCTCACCAGCCGAGTGGGTGAAGTTGAAATCCAAGTAAACCTGACATAGACCAGTCTCAGTAACGGTCACCAAAAATATTTGTTGTAAAAACCCACCTGATTCACTAATGAAACGCCCTGCCCCCCCCCCCCCCCCCCCCCCCAAATCCTGCCAAGGGAAGGAACCTGTTCTGGTTTACACAGTGCAGCTCACCATCACCTTCTCAAGGGGCTATTAGGGATGGTGAACAAACGCTGGCCCAGCCAGCAATGCCCCTGCGTGAATGATCTACAGCAATGTGGATGACTCATAACTGTCTAGTTTTGTGCCAGAAATGCCCACATCCCATGAAAACATAAACACAAAAATATAAAGACTGGAACCTACATAAACCCCAGGAGATGGGGTAACTAACACTATAGAACATCATGTTACTATAGTCTACACCCAACAGGGCACTTCTGAAGCGTAGCCATTGTTGGAGAGTAGGAATCAAAACAGCCATGTTGTGGAAAGCAAGCTCCTACAAACAGTAATGTTTAATAACCAGATAATCTGTTACTACCTTGGTCTGTTGGCTTGGGATGCTGGAAAGAAACCTCCTGCTGTATTTTAAATTGGATGATTAAGGATGACTTTGTCAACAGCACTCACATCCCACGAATGATTAGAAATAACCCGGCCCCTGTAACAGAATCACAACCTCCTCGGCGACGTCATAAAGAACATGTAATTTTACAGGAGCTTGGTGAGACCACACCTGGAGCACTGTGTGAAGTTCTGGTCTCCTTATCTCAGGAAAGATATTATGGCCAAACGAGGGAGTGCAACAAAGGTTCACCAGACTTGTTCCTGGGATGGACAAAGTATTCTCTACGGTTTCACAGAATGAGAAGTGGTTTTACTGAAACTTACAAAATACTTAACGGGACAGACAGGATTTGATGCAGGTAAGATGGTTCCCCTGGGTGGGGAGTCTGGACCCAGGGGCACAATTTAAAAATAAGGTGTGAGGCTGGAAAAGCACAGCAGGTTGGATAGCATCCAAGGAGCATGAAAGTCAATATTTCGGGCTGAAACCCTTTGTCCTCGGATACTGTCTGACCTGCTGTGCTTTTCCAGCCTCACACGTTTAGACTCTGGCTTCCAACATCTGCTGTACATACTGTCTTACAAATAAGGCAGATGTGACTTAGGTCTGAGATGAGGAGAATTTTTTTTGAGAGGCTTGTGAACCTTAGGAATTCTCTACCACACAGGGCTGTAGCAGCTCCATTTTTGAGTGTGTTTAAGGCAGAGACTGATAGATTTTTGATTCCCAGTGGGGTGCAGGGAGATGGGAATGGGGTGAGTAAAAGGCATTGAAATGTTCGATCAGCAATTATATTGAATGGTGGGAGAAGCTTGATGGGTTGAATGGCCGACTCCTGTTTCCATGTTCCTTTGGAGAACAAAGTCAATCAAAAGTGAAGATGAATAACTTTAAAAATGCCTGAAAGTGGATCTGTGTGTTTAAATTTGAGACAGCCCTGAAACTTCCTGCTCCTATGATGCTGCTTGGCCTGCTGTGTTCATCCAGCTCTGCACCTTGTTGTCTCTGAAACTGGTTGTGTTTGGCACGGGTTCTGATACCGATTCTGACCTGGTTTGCACTGACTGTTCAGCTGCAGTGTTGAAGCTTATCGAGAGAGACTCAGATTCCTCAGCAAGAGGTTGACACCAGGCACTTGGAGGCCTGCAGCCGAGGTACAATGCTGTTGTGAAACCACATGAAAGCAAAACTCACACCCACTGTTTTGGGGATGCACTCGTCAAATACAAATGCTTGCCAGTCTTTCAGGGGCACATGAACCACTTCGATTAGCTCTCCCTCCTCTGCCTGCCCTCCACCCGATCCTACATGCAGATCGTCTGATACTTCCACGTAAAACATGGTGTGTTTTGATCCTGTCACTCCAACACCGGACCTGAGAGAGAAACAGTACACGTCAGGCCGCGCTGCTCACTCACACAGAGTAAATGCACATGACCGGTTCACACTGGACACAGAAATGAGAAAGTTGCTAATCAGAGAGCAAGAAACAGAACAAAAGAGATAGAGAGAGTCACTAAGACAGAATAACAGGCACTGGATAGATAGAGAGAGACAGAGACAGACAGAGTGGGGAGAGAGAAACAGGCAGAGTGAGATAGACAGCGAGAGTGACAGACAGACAGTGACAAGAGAGAAAAACAGACCAGGAGAAGAGGGGTAAGCAGACTGCAGGAGGTGGACAGACAGAAAAAAAAGAGATGACAGTGAGTGACAGAATCAGGAAGGACAGACAACAGGAGAGATGAGATAGACAAAGGGAGAGATAGACACAGACTGTGGGAAACAAAGCAGATAGACAGAAACAAAAAGCCAAGGAAAGACAGTGACAGTGAGAGGATACAGGGAAACAGAGACAGTCAGAGAGAGAGATTCAGAGAGAGAGGCTCAGAGAGAGACAAAGAGTCAGACAGAGTCAGACAGAGAGTCAGAGAGAGAGAAAGAGAGTCAGAGAGAGAGAGATTCAGAGAGAGACAGTCAGAGAGACAGAAAAAAAGAGTCAGATGCAGAGACAGAGGGAGATAAACAGAGTTTGACCTAAAAACATGAGACAGAGGGATGCAGAAAAGTAGGAAGTGAGAGAGAATAAGAAAGACAGAGAGGGAGAGATTGAGGCACAAGGATAGAGAAAATTGGCAAGATGAAATATTGAACTGACTCATTGAACGGAATCTTTACAGCATAGATTCATACGGTGAGTCGCATCTGCATCAATATAACTACCACTAAAGGTGTGCTAATCCCAATTTCCTGCACTTGTCCCAAATCCTTGAATGTAATTATATTTGGATTGTAAGGTATCCAGCCTCCACTACCTTCCTAGACAGTCCAGTCCAGATTCCCACCACCTGCTGAGTGAAAAAGTTTTTTCCCAAATCGCATTTGCAATATCTGTAATGAAATCTTCCAAGCCATTCATTTTGTCTCGTGTCATTTAGCTCATGCACTACTTGTTCGATAAATGCTTTATTCTTGCTGATAAAATATGAGTTGCCTGATGGGGGCTGTTAATCTGGTCCAATCAGGGAGCCCTGGCTGACAGATAAAAAGGACAGTGTCAGGCTCTGGCACCTGGCTCTGAATGAGGCAGTTCTAAAATCAAGTTCATGTGTAAATAAAGGGTGACTTGGTGATGGATACTAAGCTTTGTGGAGTCACTTCGAAGATCACTGCTGATCTTTTGTGTTTCCATTCCACACTCCCATCTACGCTAGATAGCCCTTGTTTGTGTCCCCAGCAAGAACCTATCCACAATGTATCCACTCCGCTATCTTGTGCGGACATGGCTCCTGCAAAGGAGCTTCTGACAGCAGGCAAGAGAAGAGGCCAGTGCTGAACTTCATCTTGGACTACATACAACCATGGACACCTCCAATTTTGAGCAGTTTGTGCAGGAACACATCAAAGTGAATGGTAAAGCTCAGAACTTGGGCAATGTGGTAACCATCGAGAGGAACAAGAATAATATCATTGTTACTGCCGGGGTTCCATTCTCCAAGAGGTACTCGAGATACCTCACCAAGAAATACCTCGAGAGAAATAACTCATGTGACTGGTTTCACATGGTTGCAAACAGCAAAAGGATCAGAATGAAGACTAACCATAAGGCTGATCTGAACTTTTACACAAATTATCTTCAATAAAATTGACAAAAAGGAAAAACCACAAAATAAAGAACTGTGGTAGCTGGAAACCTGAAACAGAAACAAATTGCTGGATAAACTCAGGTGGTCTGGCAGTGTCTGTGGAGAGAAAAACAGAATTAATGTTTCAAGTCCAGTGACACTTCTTCAGAGCTCCACTTCTGTCTCAAAGAATTTAACAACCCACTTCCTTCACCATCTGAGACCGAGAATTCCAAAGTCACACAACCCTCCGAGACAAAAATTCTATTTCGGTCCTGAAAGGTGACTCCTAGTTATAGGAGAGTGCTCCCTAATCCTTTGTTCGGTGGTGATTATTGAACTAACTACTGTTACAAGGTCAGATCTTACTGCTATTGCTGATTCATCTCCAGCGAGATCACCAGGAATAGGCTGCACACTGACCCGACACCTTCATCTACGAATCTGCTACAAGCCTAAACACACCTCACCACGGGATCAAGAAAATTCAGTCGAAGGTTAGTGTGAGGAAAGATACAGCATTCATATATAAATATAACTTTTGGAAGTTGGATTTTAAAATATAGAGGGAGATGGGTGTTAGTTACTTCTGGGAAGGACTTTCTCTTCAAAAAAGTCAGACAGTTCTTCCAGGAGTGATGAAATCTCAGGCGACAGGTGACTGCAGATCCCTGTAGTGTTAAGGGAAAGACACAGAGATATACATCACGGAAACTGACCCTTTGGTCCAACTTGTCCATGCCAACCAGATATCCTATATAAATCTAGTCCCACTTCCCACTATGGACAGGACCAATGTCATCTATAAGATTCCCTGCAGAGACTGTAACAAACACTACATCAGAAAAACAGGAAGGAAATTAACAACAAGGGTACACTAACACCACTTGGCTACAAAAAGACACAACCAATACTCACTCATTTCTATCCACATGGAGAAGGAGAACCACCAATTCAATTGGGACAACACCAAGATCCTGGGAAAAGCAAAGCAGAGATAGGCACAGGAATTCCTAGAAGCCTGATACTCCATGAAGAAAGCCGTCAACAAACATATAGAACTCGACCCCATATACACTCCATTGCAAAGGAAAACCGGAAGTGAGGTAAATCCAGCTCAACGGACTCCAGAGTTTAAAAACCAGGCGGGAAAACACAACGGCGCTTCATCGGAGGCTGCACTGATGATGTTACCCAGCAGGGTAACGAAACGTCTGCTCAACAGCGAACCAGCTCGGCAAGCCAACCAACCACAAAATCTAGTCCCATTTGCCAGCATTTGGCCCATATCCCTCTAAAACCTTCCTATTCGTATATCCATCCAGATGCCTTTTAATTATAATTGTAATTATACCAGCCTCCACCACTTCCTCTAGCGGCTCGTAACATACACACCATGTTCTGAGTGAAAAAGTTGCCCCAGAGGTCCTTTTTAAATCTTTCTCCTCTCAACTTAAACCTACGCCCTCTGGTTTTGGACTCCCCTACCCTGGAGCAAAGACCTTGGCTATTCACTCTATCCAGGCCCCTCATGAATTTAGCAACCTCTACATGGTCACCCTGCAGGCTGTGATGCTCCAGGGAAGATAATCCCAGCCTATTCAGCCTCCCCCTATAGCAATTCGTTTTTTTTTTTAGAAAAGAAAACTGTTCAAGGGATTTGGACATGGCTGGATAGTCTATCTCTACTGCCCAGAGGACAGTTAAGAGTCAACCACATTGCTGTGGGTCTGGAGTCACATGTAGGCCAGACCAGGTAAGGATGGCAGATTCCATTAGTGAACCAAGTTGGTTTCACAGCAATTGGCAGTGGTCACATGGTCATCATTCAGCAAGATTTTTTATTCCATATTTTTACTGAATTAAGATTTCACCATCTGCCGCAGTGTATCCAGTACCTGGGGTTCTATATTACCAGCACAGTGTCACTACCAATCTGCCACCAACTCCCCTTATCCTTTTATATAATTACACTGTTGGGTTTACCACACACAAACATGTAAGGTTTAGTTCAGATGGCACCAGCATTGTATGTTTTAAAGCAAGTTTAGTTTCTTTCCTAGAAGTTGTTTCGGGTAGTTCAGGAGCTAGTTATCTCAGCAGTAGGGTTTAGTTTGTGAAAATTCCAAACCAGGAGATTTGAGAAAGTTTATGCTACCAGATTTCGGAAAAAATTCACATTGGAAGTTCAGCTTTGGAAAGTTTAGTGGAACCCTGAAGTGTTGAAATTAGGGTGTAATTTCTCTGGACTTGAATCTCTGTAATGGGTAGCATTGGGAAAGAGGTTGAAATTTTGCCTTCCTCTGAATTTTAGATCCTGCTAATGGCATTTTACATTTCGGTACCTTGGTTTTTTTTTTGTCCCTTCGAGGGAGTCAGTTAGCTGGTTTGCGATACAGAGTGATGCCAACAGTGAGAATTCAATTCCTGAACCAGCGCAGACTACCAGGATGGTCTCTCTGCCTCAACCTCTCTCTTCACCTGAGGCACGGTGCTTCTCTGATTAAAGCATCACCCAGTTGTCTCTCTCTAGTGAGACAGCATCTGTCATGGATAGCTGGTGACTGGTCTGGTAAGGCTATGGTGACGTTGTTTTTGATAAACTTAGGTTCTGTCATTAAAGAAAATCTACAGCCTCATGTGACTATGACCCAGTGACCAACCAGCTAAACAAAACCGTAGCCATGTGATCTATTAATCCAGGATTATTCTGGATCTGACTTCCACAGTAACATCATCAGCTGAGGTCATGATAGAATTGGAAAAGAATAGACAAAATAAGAGTAAAATCAGACAGTGAGAGAATGGGTAAAGCCAGAGATGTGTCAAAGTTCCAGTAACCACCCATTAACGAGTCACTGTAATTTTACATCCGCTACATTATAGAGTGTGAAACAAAACAGATTAGAGATGTAACTGACTTCAGAAGTTCTATATAAATGCAGGTTTTTGTTGCTGTTGTATAGGGAGCACAGGTAAAATATAATTTTACTTAATATATATTTTGGGAACAGTTGCAGGTACACCCATGCTGACTATAAATCACAGAGCCTAAACTAACGAAACCATCTCATACTAAAATAGCCAGGAGCTGGACTCAATACTTCTCAGCAACAGCTCCAGTTCTGAAAGTTTCTTTTTAATTCACGCATGGAATGTGCATGTCACTGGCTATGCCAACATTTATTGCCCATCTCCAATTGCCTGAGAATCAACCACATTGCTGTGGGTCTGGAGTCACATGTAGGCC